TCTCTTTGGATTTGAGACTTTAGTCTTTGCAACTTTACAGATCTTCTTTATGCACCAAGAGCTTGTAACACTTCAAAGAGAAAGGAAAACTTTAAATCGCATCATATGACCCCTTTAATGATGAGAAAGAAGTCATCTCTGAGGGACACATCCAGCAGGTGGCAGTATCACCTAATGTTTTACATTATATAAATAATTATCGATCGAGTTTAAATTAGCGATTGACCAATATGATTTTTTTAAGCAGGTAATGCTGAAAGAGAAATAATTGTATTATTATTATTACTGTTAAATTTAAAAATTATAATATATATAAAATAAACTTTTATATTTTATTTAACTTTTATACTTTTTTTTTTTTACATTATATAAGGGTAAGATAGAGGTTTAACATAGAGGTTGAACAATACGTTTAATTTAATAGCCATCGCCTAAATAGTTTTCGACTATTTTATTTATTTATATACAGTATATATATAATATACATATATACACATGTGACCCTGGACCACACAACCAGTCATAAGGATACATTTTTTTAAATCATCAGCTGAAAGCTGAATAAATAAGCTTTTCATTGATGTACGGTTTGTTAGTATAGGACAATATTTGGCCGAGATAAAACTCTAAATATTGAACTATGTGATCCAAAATACAGCAAAACCAGTAATATTGTGAAATATTTTTACTATTTAATATAACTGCTTTCTATTTGAATATATTTTAACATTTAATTTATTCCTGTGATCAAGGCTAAATTTTCAGCATCATTACTCCAGTCTTCAGTGTCACATGATCCTTTAGAAATCATTCTAATATGCTGATTTACTGTTCAAGAAACATTTATTATTATTATTATCATCAATATTTAAAACAGTTGAGTATATTTTTAATCAGGATTCTTTGATGAATATAAAGATCCAAAGATCAGCATTTATCTGAAATAAAAAGCTTTTGTAACATTATACACTATACCATTCAAAAGCTTGGAGTCAGTATAATTTTTATTATTTTTTTTTTTTAGGAAAGAAATTATAGAAATTAATACTTTTATTTAGCAATGATGCTTTAAATGTATCAAAAATGATGATAAAGACATTTATAATGTTACAAAATATTTATTTTTCAGATAATGCTGTTCTTCTGAACTTTCTATTCATCAAAGAAACCTGAAAAAATTCTACTCTAGCAGCAAATCAGAATATTATAATTATTTCTGAAGGATCATGTGACTGGAGTGATGATGCTAGAAATTCAGCTTTGAAATCACAGAAATAAATAACATTTTAAAATATATTCAAACAGAAAACATTATTATTTTGAATCGTAAAAATATTTCAAAATTTTACTGTTTTTGCTGTACTTTGAATTTTTTGGGGGATTTTAAATGCAGGCTTTTTTTTTTTTTTCCAAGGCCTACCTGTAGGTGGCTGTCTGGATGGTAACGGTCGAGTGAAGTTGCTTTGCCCTCCACGAGGTTCACTGTAAGTCCCTCTGTGAGTGTCAGCGGACACTGGAGTGCTCCAAGTGGATCCACGACCACCCTCACGACGAGGGTAGTTACCTAAAACAAACAAATTATTTTGAATAATGTGTCATGGATTTTATCAGTCACATATAAAAGGAGTACAGAGTATATATATGTGCTGAATCAAACATATATGTGTACCAGCAAGCAGAACACTCTTGGGGGCTGGTGGAGTGAAGAAGCGGGCGTGGTTCTGGAAGCCCCTCCCTCTGGTTCCTCCAGTAAACAAGCCTCTAGTTGGTGGCTTGGCTCCTCCTCCTTTTGGTGGGCGTTTGGGCAGGGCCAGGCCAGTGGGTTGACCCACCTCCTTGAACTCTGCAGCAAGGAAATCATCTACATGCATGGAAGGAGGTCGACTGGTGTTCTGCTTGCGCTGGCGGAAAATGTCATGTGGTCGAGAGAGCTGGCCAAACGCACCACGACCCCGACCCCGAGGGGCCGCCATGAAATGAGCTCGTTTCGCAGGCTCCACATAATCTGAATTCCCACTGCAAACGAAGAAAATGATTTGTAGCTATATAGAGTTTATACATTCAAGGTAAAGTAGTAACCTCAGACTAGAATGGTAAGCAGACAACACATTGTGTACCTGGATGTGATGAAGGTCTCATGTTTGTGTTTTCCCAGTCGGAAGCCTTTGGATGGTTTGCTGTGTCCTGGGGAAGTGGGTTCGCTGAGGAACGAACGTTCTAATTCTGCCTTTAGGTTTAAGTCTGGACAACACTGCTGGGCCAGTGCAACTAGGTCAACTTTCACCTGCAACACATACATTAACAATGCTCACACGAAAAACTACACATAACATGAAGAGCTATTTATACTTTTATAATTTATTAATAATCCAGACTACTAAATTTATTGTCTCCATAATAAATCTGCACTCTAAAATTTGTGTAAGCAAAGAAAATAAAATGTTGTTACCTTAAAACCTGCCATAAATTGTTTACATTGCTCTCCAATTGCTCAATTATATATTTAAATCAAATATATTTATCGTTCCCGCAAACACACATCTCACCATGTCAACTTCTGTCTCCATCTCATCTGACTGGAATGGAGAGAACCACAGGGCCTTCAACTGCTCATCCAGGACATCCGAGAGAACAAAAACCGTCCTGAATGTAGATAACCAGTTAGTGAGGGGAAAAAAACAGAAAGTAACATTGAGGCATTCAAGTATTTTCATTTAATAAGGATGTGCAAAACTACATATTTAGAAAATTGACTAATCCAATTAGACACATTTGGTTGGGGCATTTAATTAAATAAGAAGCATTTTTGCATTCAAACAAACTAGATCACGCATGACAGAAATAGAATAGAAAGCAGCTTTCTCAAGTTGCATTTAAAATTTGCATTTTTTATTGACTTATTTTGGCTTTTCTTTTGCCCTTATTGGGACAGGACAGTACAGAGAATTGACAGGAAGCAAAATGGCACAGGATCGAGAAAGGGTTCACAAGCCCAGACTTTAACTTGGGTTGCCCCATATGTAACCATGCCTCATGTTGAAGTTCTGCTTGGCACCAACAACTATTCTAAACTTAACAGGAAGTCTTTTAAATCGCAACACCTAGTTGACTCACTTAATTCACACACCAGTGTTATTTTAGTGTCACTGAGATACTATTATATATTATATTTTAGTACATCAAATTTAACTAAATGAAAATGAGAAAGCTGCCTTGGCACCTAGCTGAAATAAGGTTAATTTTTTAATATATAATATTTTATTTCAATTAAAGTTTATTTCAAGTAAGATTTCAAAGTTGTTTTTTATGGATTTCGTTAACTATAAAAACCCAGTCACATACACAATTACTCTCTCTGTCTGTACTACCTGTGGTTGAACTGTGTCTGAAGGGGTTCTGGTGCAGGTAGAGTGGGCTCAGCTTCAGGCTCTGCATTAGTTAGAGCCAACATGGCTGATTTGCAAGCCCGCTGAGATGCCAGTGAGTCGAGGAGAGCTAGTAACCTCATCAAGCGTGAGCCAGCTGCCTCCCTAAACACACAACACACAGTCCATCTGAGCTGTCTGGAATATACAAACCAGTCAAACTAACCCATTTAAAAGTATCTAGGCTTAATCAGTTATCACTAGACCTAATTAACTGATTGTTTTAATTATATGTTGGTCATTTAATTTAATCTTAATTAACTGCATATAGCTAAAAATATCCCCCAACAAGAGGTCCACAGCTGTACTACAGAAAGTCTGCCAGTTATGTAGCACATTCAAATTACAACTCCTACATTTGTAAAGTACAATTTTAAATAATATAATATTTAATAATAATAAATATTTATAATTCTGAAAATTCTGTCATTAATTACGCACCCTCATGTCCTTCCAAACCCGTAAGACATTTGTTCATCTTCGGAACACAAATTAAGATATTTTTGATGAAATCTGAGAGCTCAATTTCAACATAATCAGCATTGTTTACGTTCAGGAGAAAGCGCATGCTTCGTGGTACTCTCCAAACTGGCAGAAGACGTTAAATCGGGGAGAAGAATTGTTGAATAAATTATGTTATTTTTGTTTCCTTTGCGCACAAAAAGTATTCTCGTAGCTTCGCATAATTGAAGTTGAGCCACTGATGTCCCATGGACTTTTTTTTATCTATGTCCTTGCTACGTTTCTGGGTCTGGGAATATTTTAGTTCTGTTGCTGTCAATGCAGGGTCAGAGAGCTCTCAGATTTCATCAAAAATATCTTAATTTGTGTTCCGAAGATTAACAAAGGTCTTACAGGTTTGGAACAACTTGAGGGTGAGTAATTAATGAAACAATTTTCATTTTTGGGTGAATTAACTCTTTAAGTCATTTTATTAAAAAATATAAAATAAAAATTATTTTATAAATAATTGTTTATAACATTTATATTAGAAATATATGTGCTTATATAAAATAAATATTTCATTTATAAATGCTAAAATGTTATTTTTAAAAACACACATTTATACACACACATTCATGTGTATAAATATAAATGTATAATTGTTCTTGATATCTTATTAAAACAAATCTACAAGCTATGAACAAATTGTCCTTAATATGATGACTGTGTCTTACTGTTGCATTTCCTCCTGCAGCTGCTCCAACAATGTCCTCATCACCAGAGTCGCAGTGGGTGCAGCAAGATCACAGAGCTGTACACACACACGGCGGAACATGGAGAGTAGCGGCGGACAGCTGTTGACACACACACACCTCAGCACTTCCTGTAATACTCGAGCCTGAGCGTGTAAGTGCACACTCCACAACTTTCGCGTGTTCATCGCAACCCCGATGTCTTGCACAGATAGTGCCTAAAAGAGATAAAGGGAGATGGGAAAGAGTAAATTAAATAAACTATTTTCTAGAAATAACTCCTGGTAATTAACAAAACCGTTATGGAAGCATAAATTTGCTGCCTATGTTTTGAAACCATCCTCATGTTAGTAGTTTTGTCAAAATTTGTCTAAAAAGTGTCTAGTCAGGCAGCTCACAAGGGTTTGGATCAGAGCTCCTGTATGTATGACAATCAGCAGCAAGCAGCGACAGGTACTTGTAGCCGCATGTGTGTTCAGTTACCTGAGTGGTCTGCATGGGCAGTGGTAGAGGAAGCAGTTCTGACAGCAGACTAAGGCTGCTGTAGATGTTCTCTGGAGCAGCCAGTGTAGAGTTCAGCACTTCCCTCAGCATCAGAGACCAGCTGTTTCCGGCCACGGTCTCCTCTGAACCCGTCATCTGCTCGCTAATTGCATGTGTGAATGTTAACATTATCTCTGTCACGTCTCCCTGGATACGCAGCTCCTCTGCATCCAGGCGACCGGTTGTCGGGGTGGAGCAGAGGATCTTGTGAAGGGCGACACAGACGGAGGGCACACGCACGTCACGGAACTCACAGGTTCCCCCGCACAGCAGCTCTGTCAGCATGGCTCGGATGAGTCTCAGCGAGCAGGAGGCCACTGACAGCATCATGAGTCGCTGCGCTGTGGGGCCCATTGGACCATGTAGTCGCCATGGCAGCAGCAGCAATGTAAGCTTCTGGAGGACTTTAATAAAAGTGTCCATGCCCTCTGCACTGAAGAGAGCTATGATGGCCTGGTTCCACTTCAAGTCTTTCTGCTGACCTGCACATACACAATGAGACACATAAGCTAATATTTTCATTGGCAATCAATCCGTTTTAGCAGTCAATACCAGTACTAAATGAAACAATCTGAGATAATGCAGCAAAGCAAATATGCTACTGAACATTTCTTTAAAATTTAAATGTATTCATTTAAATATTTTTTACTTTTTTTTTTTTAAATATACGAGTATTTCTCAAAATATAAATGACAGGATTTATATTTAAATTGGATTAATTTTAACAATATAACAGACAATAAGTAATGTTAGGTGCATTTATACTGCAAAGCCTAGATAGATAGATAGATAGATAGATAGATTTTTGTTTGTTTAGTATCTAGTTAAGACAAGCTAAGTTAAAAGTAAGGCATACAGTATGTTTGCATGTACCTGGCACAGTGGTTGGAGGGCAGGCAATGTGGCACAACACTCTGAGAGCGGTTACAAGACCCACCCCATCTGCTGTCATCAAGTTCTCCAGATTCTGACAAAGAAACAGCAACATTTCGATGCTACACCATATTTAATAATTATATGATGTCTTTAACATGTTGTGACCCAATTCTATATAAATTGGCATTTGAGCATATGAATGAAGGAGTTAGTTTTGTTTTATAGCTAACTGCAAGAGATCAAAGTAGGTTCTTATTCTTGTTGAAACTTGAACCATCAGTGCTTTAATGTCTTGATCAATGCCTAACATAAAATTAGCATACATCTTGTAACTCATCCTCTACAATCTTACACCCCCTTAAAATGCCATAAAATGTGGTTATGTGGTTGATAACCTCACCTGCTTTATGTAGTCAATAAGCGTAGGAATGCCACTAATATCAAAGTGTAATTTTTCAAGTGGCTCCAACCACTTAGACAGCTCTGAAAAACACATTTTATCATAGAGGTCAGATGTGAAGGCACTTACATTTACAAAAATTATTAAATGGCTTTTAAGGCCTTGGAAAAAAGGCCTTTTTATAGATCACAGAACTGGAGGTTTGCCTGATATTGAAGAGTTTGGTGGGCTGCAAAAGAGTAGCATGCTCACCTTGAAGCTTAGCATTGTTTTCATCAGCTTTGGAAACATTAAGTAGTGGAGCGGCATAGTGCTCTATCATCCGGAGATCGCCTGATGTCTGAATCACCAGCAGTACAAGCATACAGGCATAGTTATATGTTACGGACTTCCTTGCTTTTCCTTCCCTGTATGAGAGAGTGAGAGGAAGTCAGCAAGAGAACAAGTCATTTAAGAGGATACAGTACATTTAAGTGAAAATGACTATGGAGTGCCTCAGGGTTCTGTATTTGGCTAATTTGTGTTTACTAACAACCTATCTACTACATGCTGTCAAGAAACATTCAACACAAACACATCATATTCTTATATGTCATTATATAGATTGCCAAAAAATACACTCTGACATATCAGACATTTTTAAAACCCTGTTTATATACAACAGGTGTATTAACATATTCTCACCCTTGGCCCTCTTTGGCATGGAACTCCACCAGGTTGACCAGAGAGCTGAGGTTGTTATCCAAGCTAAAAGCATGCGCGACAGCATTTCGGCCTGTGCTGCTAAAGCTAATGAGATACAGGCAGTGAAGTGTTGCCAGAACACTTGGATTATCGCCATCTTCAAGCTCTGCACCATTCAGCTCAGCAACACCCTGTAGTGCATGTAGAGTCTGCATAAGCCACACCCAAAAACCATCATCCATCGAACCCTCTCCACCCGCAGGAGCATCTTCACCCTCACCCTCTGAAAGGGGCGTCAGCGGAGTCAAGTGAGAGGGTGGGGTCAGGTGAGTAAGGGGTGTGAGGAGACGAAGCAGCAAATTGGTGGTTTCGTGTTTGCTAAGGAGGAAGAGGAGGCCCTGCTGGGACTGTGATAGGAAACGCATCAGTTCTCTGACAGACTGCAGGACTCCGATGTGGGCAAATGTAGCCGGATACGACAGAACAACTGCCAGGGATTCCAGAAGGTGACAAGCATGCATGTATCTGTAAAAAAATAAAATGCAATAATTAAAGAACTGCTAAATATTTGAACAAAAGGGGTAAATAACATAGCTGAGTACACATTCAAAAATATGTTTAAGATGATTATATTTAAACTTAAATGGATAGTTCACCCAAAAATAAAAAATCTGTCATTAATTACTCAGTAAGGAATTCATTGTTGAATAAAGTCGTTATTTTTGTTTTCTTAGCGCACAAAAAGTATTCTCATAGCTTCGTAAAATTACAGTTGAACCCCTGATGTCACATGGACTATTTTACAGATGTCCTTGCTACTTTTTTGGACCTTGAATGTGGTAGGACCCTGTCTATGAGAGGGAGTTTTTTTTATCAAAAAAATCTTAATTTGTGTTCCGAAGATGAATAAAGGTCTTACGGGTTTAAAACAACATGAGGGCGAGTAATTAATGACAGAATTTTAATTTTTGGGTGAACTATCCCTTTAATAACAATTAATATTGACTATATATAATAGAAACCACTAATTTTCATCATAAATAAACAAGACAAACGTTTTGTAGCCATATGGTCCTGACCTGTACAGTGTTGGATAGGGATCATCACGCTCTGGTGGCCCAGTGATTCGGGCACTGGTGGGAAAAGCTTTCCCAGGAGGCTGTACCATACAGTGAGGTGCTGTCTCCAGCAGGTGGAGCAGTTCTTCCAGAAGACCTTGCAGGCTTTCCAGGTCACCTTCTGACAAAGAGGCAGATTCCAGCAAGGTATCAATGTCCATTGGGCTTTCCCGCTCTACCTCCTGGGTTTCCCTCTCCCTCTCATCTCCTTCCCTCTCAGTGCTTTCTCTGTCTCTCTCTCCGGCTTCTCTCTCACTCTCGCTACCCTCTCGCTCACCCACCTCCCCTACTGTGGGATGGCGTTCAGCCCAAATGCTGGCTGTCCTCTGCAGGTCAGTCAAAACCTCATAAAAATGTCCCTTTTGTAAAATGGCTGTGCCAGCCGTTGCGACACGCACGGTCTGGTCCAATAGAAACAGATCCAGCAGACGCTGGTACCCACTCGTTCCATCATTGTCATGGTGACGGTCTCTGAGCAGGGCCTCGATACCCTGTGGCTCACTGATGATGCTGTCGAGGGAACGCAGCACGTTGAGTTTCAGAGTGGATGAAACGTGTTCTGCAAACAGCAAGCCTAGGAGGCTGCCAACAATCCCTTTCTCCAGCAGATTCTGCACAGCCTGGGCACCACAGTCGGCCAAGGCAGAGGCCAGTTTGGTTCCTGCTTTGAGCTGGCGTAAGTTCAGCGCTATGGGCTGTGCCAGGGCAAAGTCCAAATTAAGAGCTTCACAGCTCCAGTCGACCAACTGCTTCAACTTCTCACTCAGCCCATCAGGGTCCTTAATAGACAGGAAGCTCATCCCTTTTAGCAAAAAGGCAGGGATCTCCTCTAAGGCAGTTACCCAGCCTGCCCCTCGCTCTGTCCTCTGTCCCTCACCCCAGGCCTCCAACAGTTCTGAGAGTTTCGCTGCAGACTCCGCCCACAAGGAGCTTGAGTCCTGGATGTCTACCGTCTTGAGGCGTTTTAGCTCTGCCTCATAGCGTGTAATGTGCGGCGGTGTGAAGTGCTGGAGGGGTCGGAGTTCACGCTCGTATGGATCATACTGAACGGTTGGTAGTGATGCAAGGTCCTCAGGTGTATAGTCCAGGTCAAAGGCAGGCAGCTTGAAAGCCCCACTCTCCAAATCCTCCTCATCACTGGATATCTGCTCATATCCATCATCACCTGCATACAAAAGCAAAACACTTCACACGCAGAAAACACAACATCTGATACATTGTTATTGGCTCAGCAAATCTAGCAAGTTCATTCTTGACTTCAAACTCTGTTGAGATGTTTAATTAAGTTGGGCGTCTCAGCAAATTAGAGCATAAACAAGACTATATTGGTTCTTTTGAATATCACTGAACTCTGCAGAGAACCAGATGTTCTCCACACCAGTGTCAGGAATCATATCCTTTCACTTGGGGCCCAATATTTGCAATTGTTTACCTTATGAGAGTATTATATGTGTGGGTATGTATTAGGGATGTCAATTTTCGATCATTTCCATGATCAATCGTCGTTTAAATTAACGATCAATTAATCGATTAATCGTTAACCTTAATGCTGCAAAATGCGTCTATGCAGCCCGTCATGACAGGATGTGCAAAAGTTACTCAAAAAAAAAATAACTGTGGCGCGTGTGGCTGTGCTGCGCAGTCAGTGAACCGCTTCCATCGGCGCAGATGCAGCAAAACACACTGTTGCTCACATCAAACATTATCATGTGAGTATTATGACCAGTACTTAATTTGATCCTGCTGGATCCTGTTCCGGAAAATGTCAGATTGTGAATTTTTACGTTCCGGTAGGCCTATTTGTTTTTAAAAATCCGGCATTTACAGTGTATTCTCAGAGCATCCTCTTCACATGAGCAAAAACGTCCTTGGCATAACAGCAGAGTGGACCGGTATACGACGGTCTATTTAAACTGACCAGTGTAACCTTTTATATGTTTGGTTGACTGTATTTTATTTAGATAATGAACAGACTGCGATGAATTGCTAGAATATGTGGGGTGTGTGCGCGTGCGGTGCCGGTGTACATTATGAATGAATGATGATGCATTTATATACCGTCACCGTCACTCACAGCCGCTCGCACGTGTTTTGCGCATGAGCCGCACGCAGTCCCAAATTAAACTACTTAATCGACCATCGATAGCTTTAATCGATTGCATGTCTTATCGACAATTAATCGATCGTCAATTAATCGTTGACATCCCTAGTATGTATGTATGTATGCATGCATATATGTATTTTTTTTTCCTATAAATAGCGACAAATTCTTAACACTTATCAATCAAATAAATGATAAATACATACTATTTAATTTTTGTAAATGAACAAATATTTGCACATTTATATTTAATAAATTAAATTGATTTAGGGAGCATTTTTTGCCCTCACAGAAGAAATATCTGGGTCATTATTCCCCAGAGCACCTGGTTTATTCACCCTCACAATACTGCAACTCCTCACCTTCTCCCTCTTCATCGGTGACCTCCTCACCCACTTCCTCTTCATCTTCATCCCCCTCACTTCCCTCAGAGTGCACATCCTCATCCTCCTCATCATCAGCCGGACCCTCATCATCCTCCTGCTCTGCGTCCGAGTAATTCTCATCTGCAGGAAGAGACCCTCGCTCAGGTGAGACAGGCTCCAGGTAATCATCACCCTGTTCTGTGTTCTCCACCTTTACTGGACCTAAAGCAAAGACAACACAGTAAAGGTAAGTGCTCAGAACTTTTTCAGTTTAAGAAAATGCAATAACAAAAAAGGCTAAATAATATATAGTTGAGTCCACATTGAAAAATTGGGATTATTTAAATCTGGAAATACTTAATAAGATATACAATGAATAATAAGATTCTCTGAAAACTAAAAATTTTAATTCAACACTATATATAAATATAAAAATATATGAAACACTATTTATTTATATATATATATTTCCAAAATATATGCTGTATGTGAGTGAATGTATGTTTATATACATAATAAATATACACAGTACACACACATATATTATGTAAACAAAACCTTTTAT